TGTGGCGCTGTGCATTAGCACAGCGCCATCTAGTTCCACTGTAAGCAAAGCTTGTATTATGTGTATTATATATATTGTGTATAAACACATATTTATTATGAACACATAGAACACACTTCACACATACACCCAAACCGATAATGGTGTGCTCAACCGCTAGACCAGCAAGGCTTCAATAAAATTCAATTCAATTTCAAATATTATTAATACAAAAGTGAGTTTAGTTATTTAGTTCGCTGAAATGAAGTTTTGCATATGACTTTTAGATGAAGAAAAGACTCATTTATCCTGATCAAGGTTTGAAGCTAGTTGTTAATAAGGTACATTTGTACGCGGCGCGAATATCCGAGTACAGTTTGCCCCCAGTCCCCGACAATCTCAATTCATTAGCTACCCCCGTAACAAGTTGGAGGGAGTTACACAGTAGCACTATGTGTTGTCTATATGAGTTAGTCCGAGGCTTTCCTGCTTTGTAACTTGGCACAAATGAGTGTGAGGAAAGCTTTAGGTCAGCTTCTGTGTTGCTCCGGCATTTACAGTTCAGGATTGCTGTGCTTTTGAAGTATATATATTTGAAGTATATATAATGGATAATTAGAGTGCTATTACTTCGACTATAGTGTGTCGCGATTTACTCTATTTGACAAAGAAGTAATATGGACTTTTTCACTTTGAAGTATGCAAGTTCGTATAAATGAAAATATCGTAATACTTTTTAATATCTAAATTAAATTCCAATGGACTGTATTTTTAACTAATATTTGATACTTTTATTTCTAATAATACTTAATATTTTGAGTAGTATACTTATAAAGTCACTCTGGTAATTGATGCGTCACGAACAAAGTCGCGGTTCCAATATGTAGTGTCAAATACAATTATTTTATTATCATGACTCATGTTCCAAGCTGAACTAATAAATGATTTCACTATTGCATATTAAATTGCACCCTGTAATATAATATTATATGTGTACCAAACCTTACATTGAAATTCATTTTGTAATATGACTGTGTTGGTTTTAAATGTAATGGTTATTTGTCCCCGTTCACATTACAATCCTGGCGCAGTTAATTAGGGTCGAGATGTTCGTAATACAGACGAGGCAATGTAATGACACGGGGGTCAGACATCGAGGACAAATAAACTCGGACCCATGTCAGTGTGTGTGACAATTTGTGCGCACAAATATTCTCAAATTGGTACGTGATGAGTTTATATTACCACCTTCAGATCATGATATGTTATATATAGGGTTGACATCTGTCGTGATTGTATGAGTATTTCGAACTGAATTGTAGTTTTCCTAGAAGGAGAATGTACAAAGTCTCCATGAGATTTTAATCTCACCGAATTCTGCCAATCCTGTAGCTTCATTTACAAATTGTTGATGTACCACATAAATTAAAAGGTACCCAGACGTAACAAAGTACTCCTCAAATATTGCAACACGTGAATGGAACTTCAAATTATTAAAAAAGTTGTATAAAATAAAGCCATCGCTCACTTTAGAGAGATTTAGATGAATTTAAATGTAAATTGGTCGTTTATAAATTCTGTTATATATATGCCTTCGTGAAAAAAGTCTTAAACTAAGTTGTATCTACAAACTGAAAGCCGTCTCAAATGTTACAATCTTACTACTATAAACTTGAAAGTTTGTTAGTATGGATGGATGTTTGCTGCTATTTCACGCAAAAACTACTGAACGGATTTTAACGAAACTTCACTGTAATATAGCTTATACATTAGAATAACACAGGCTGTTATTTAAAGAGATATTATGTGAATTGGGACAAACATAGAAATATATCAAGTAAGTGTAATGCAGACGAGTTGCGCGGGCCAGCTAGTACTACATATAACCCGAGCCATTAAATCCCCTTCTAAGATATCAATATTGGTTTACGATATTCCCCATCAGGTGTCTAGAGGATAGTTTCGTCTTACTGATTTTTACGACGCCTAACATCGCTGTGGCCGCTGCAAATAATAGGAAACCTTATCATTACCATTATATAACTTCTTATATTTATGTTTGTGAGAACATTAAATTATTTTAAAGACCAATATCATCCTGAGATGATTGTGTAATAAAAGTTAGATTATTATTATATCACTGTTATAGCAAAGTAGAGATAATTAGAAAATTAGAAAAAAATATCTTTCTAATATTACTTTTAGAAAGATAATTTTTACAGGTTATGCTTTTTTAATTTAATATATATGTATCTATCTATATCAGTGTCTAGGTAACCTATGAACACGAACCTAGGTAACCTATGACAGAGACATGTCCTCTGTCATGACAATTATTACACTAAAGGAGAGCTATATTTAGTGTAATAATTGTGAATGTTTTAAAATGAAATGTTCAGAATTCACTGGATGTTGTCACTTAATTATGCTTAAGCGGTTAAACAAATGTTAATGAAATTTGGCACACAGACAAGTCTTGACCCTATTAACACTAAAGGACTATTACAAATATGTATATAATTCCGTCGGGTTCGATTCCTCACACGGTACACACATTTGTATTCATATCAAATTAGTTATAGGCAACACGGGCTAAGACAGGGCGGTCTACTTATATATGAATAAAATGTAAATATACGTACTTGAATCTCGATACGATTTAATATAGTAATCTATTACAATGAAATCGAAACCAATGATACAGCATTGAGAACAGAACAAAAAATGTTTACACACAATCTAAATATGCTTTTACTGATAAATTACGGGATGCCCCAAATTTCTGTTTGACTGGATAACAAAATGTATTGATGCGAGGCGATGTTTCAGTATTGTTTGGAAATTTCAATCAACTCTCAAAAGTTTCTTCAAATCAAGTTTGAACAGATCAAAGACTGAGTGTCTTCGAATTGCTTTGTTTTGTTAAGTGATTATCAGACCATAAATGAGTCTTAAGGAAAGACATTATAAATAAAACAAAAGTATTTATTAAATTACGCGATAATTTTTAATGTTATAATTGATATTAATAAATTCTTTTAAAATTTATGATGGTTTTTTTTTAAAAACCGCTGCTGTATATCCGGTACTTGGCGTTTATAGATATTATATTTATCTATAACTATCCCCATTTTCAGTACCGTTATAAATATAATTAATTTTCATACTTTCATTGTTTTAAAGTTGACCGTCCTTAAGGAGTTTCATTTTCTTTAATATCTCCATTGCTTGAAGCACGAACACAACGTTATAAGCATAACTAAATAAAGCATAAGTAGGTAATATTCTTTTTATAGAAATTAAATTTATTATCATTTGTAATGACAAATATAAGCTCAAATGTTTGACCAACTGTTTGTCATTACCATAGCTGATATTACGTGATAGTTTCAAAAACCCAATGTTATTATTATAATATTTTTAATTGACTACTAGTTAATGAAACTCTATCTATAATAATGTGTACTAAATTTGGAACTAGTACCTAAACAAACTATTATAGCTGTAAATTACCGATGAAATCCATACTCAAAATTACTTTCCTTAATTAATATTAATTAAATTTGAAATGTAATTATCAATTTAATTATTCCCGCGGACCTTTCAATTTCCGCAAAATTTAATGATATTTTTTTTCGATATTCGCTAATGTAGAGAGAGAGCAAGCGTAGAGGCAATAGAAAATATCGATTTTGATTGGCAACTGCGTGGGTGATAATGAACTTGGAAATATAATTGAGGCCATCTATTGTCCCTCTATTTCCTTCTAAATGAAATATGAAACCTTACGTTTAAAGGAACAAGGTTTATTTTCAATGTGCTGTAGCAAAATGTCACGTGACTTCGATATTGAAATATGAATTAGAATTTCAACGTAAAATTAAAAATTACAATATAATTGCAACACTAATGAAAAGTACATAAGTGCTGAAATCCTGATCATTAATGTCGAGGTACCCTGTGATGTTCTTGAACGTTACGTAATATTTGTATCTAGACATAATAGAAAAAGGTCCGAAATGTCCCCCAATTGCCTATTCCGTTCATATGTTCAATTAATATAGGTAAGCTTGGGACTTTAGTTTAATTTGCTTTCATTTTCCGAAAAAAGTTTATGTACTGCAGACATTGCCTAAAACTACACCTAGATATTTGTCTGTGACTATATCCACTCGCAAAATATGTAGTACATTTAGTAGTTTTTTTTTGTGAACATCTAGGCTAATATAATTATATATATTTATTTCTCAGGTTAATGACATTTTATAATTGGCGGCATGAATAGTTGAAAGTTATCTATATTAATCTGTTTACAATGGTGCTAATTATAAAATGTCGTCTTTGCCAATAGGAAGCCATTTGTAAAAAAATCTTAGCAAATGTGATAATTTCATCCTCAGGTTTTTTCGGTTGGCAGATTTCTAATAATACTATTAATCACCTTACTAAGCTTGGTAACTATGGAATTCTGGCGTCTATCTATATCTACCCCGTAAAGAACAACCGTGAAGATACACAGTACGGACAAAAAAGACTCATAACGTTTACTACGAGTCGTTATGCGTCCCCATATTATTATCTGAGTCTAGAGAATCTATTCATCACACCACACCTTCGAAATCACGTTTCGGTTAGCTCTGTTGCTACCTGCTTTTTTCATTCCAAGGTTATGAACGTGCCGGCTCGCTGAATTATTAAATTAGACTCGCTATTTTACAAATGAATATAAAAAACGCCAAATTTGTAATGTCGTGTCACGTCATGTCTTGACATTTCGATTAGTATTCTGTCTAGGCAAATTCCTTATTAAAGTCAATAGTGATGTTTATTATGAAATAAACAAACCAAACGATATTTTACTCTTACTAGTAGTCGCTCAGTGAGCAAAATTCGAGCATAATTAATTTAAGATTTAGTAATCATTATTTGATTATCACGTCACCGTTATGACCGTGGCAATGATGATTATTGTAGAAATATCAAATTATTTAATTAATATACATAATATATATTTGTTACAGATTTGTCTGAACTAAACAACGAGCCAAGCTGGCCGCCAACCATGCATTAGATATCGAAGAAACGATATCGAAACGTAAGTGCTTAAGTATATTTTTATTCATATTTATTGATTTAAGTTCCATGAAAGCTGATTTTCTGCTTGATATTGGTACACTAATATCTTCCTCTTACGGGGAGAGACCGTCTAGTGACACCTTATGTTGTGTTAGTTGGTAGATATTACGTATTTAGAAAACTCGAGAAAACAAAAAAAATTTTTCATTTTATATATCTGATTTACTCTTCGATGATAGAAACACCGTTAACAAGCCACCAAAATAATCTAAGAGACAGTGTTAGTCTGCATAGATAGCCCCATGCTGCATTGGTTGGTATTGAAACCAAGCACATTTTTTTTATACTACGATGTTGGCAAATACAACCCATCTGATGGTGAACGGTTATCGTACCCTATAGATGCCTGAAACACCAGGAGTGACACTGACTGACTATCCTTTCTAAGACAACAGTTGTGAAGGTATTTTACTTCGTTATTTATATTATTATAAGGATGTTGGAATAGTCCCTTATGTAATTTTCTTATAAAGATTTTCTTTCTGAATTAGACAACATAAAACTTATCAAATATACGCGAGTCACTACTTCGGCCACTCGGGAATGAAGAATGAATGGGGTAATATCACAGTGGGAGTTCTGTTTCTTTAACAATAAGTAACTTTAGTCCTTTATGCCCTTGAAGAAATACAAGCAAATAAAATTACATTTTACCTTCAAGGATTTTCGTTTCTATTATCATTGTGATGTAAATAAATTATGTTAGGCGTCGAGGTGAAAGAGATTTTCCTTAGGTAACCTGTAAAGTATATTCAAAGATTCTATTTTCGATAAAACCTTGTAATAAGATCTCATGCTTAGTGGTTCTTTATAGCGACTTCACATGTTTAAATTCTTGGGAATTCAATTCATTTGTTTTCATTCATCCAGGTCTATTAGATACACAAACAATACATTGTGCATTCAGAATACAACAGTGAGAAGAATTCTGTTATAGCATATATAGTACATGTTCTCCTTAATAGAGACTAGATGGAGCTGTGTGGTATGTCTAGGGTAAAGAAGAATACATTTAATTATCTGTGAATAATTAAAATCTAAGCCGGAAGCATGTTTTAGGGTGATATTCAGTATATCGTGACAATATTGAAGTGTCTGTAATCAAAGTAATTGTTTTTTTAATGATTTTTGTTCGTGTTGCTCGTTAACGAACCAGTGTTTTTTTTAATTGCCCATTGGTTCTGTTGATAGACAGGTCTGTGTTTTATTTAAATCCGTCCAATCGTGCAAGCTTGTTTGTATAGGAAACATTCTTTCAATTTTTACGGTAGGGTGTTCAATTTCGACTATTTTTTTACTTCCTTGGGGAAAATCGCTGTCATGAATATTATTATTAGGTTTCGATGTAATACTTATCATCTCAGTATCTATCCCCTATAGAAATAGGCATTTCTTAATACCCTCCACTATATGTTATTCTTCACTTTTTGAAGCCAGATATATAGCTAAGCTACCAGATTATTTGGAATTTCTGTCCTAAAACTTAAAAATCATATTAGTAAGGACTAGACACTTTTAGAAATATCGTAGTTTAATTAATATGTATATATGATTTGTTATATGATTTTAAATAAGGTATATTATTTTATAATAATTACACATGTGGTATTAGGACATTCATATTTCTAAGTCTTACAACACCATTTGTAGATATTAAAAGACATATTTTTGTGTTAAATTTCAAACATTAAGGAGCTACAAGCTACAAGCTATAACCCCTTAATTGTGTTTCATATCCCGAACAAGAATTTTCCATTTCTAACTCGCATTGTTTAGGGTAATTCAACAGTAATAACAATTCAAACAAAATGTAGGGTTTCCATATTTACTTAGGGCTTGATTGCATAATTAATACGGACGTCGTAGCTTCATGAATTTAAACTCGAATTTAATAACGTTAAAGTCTGATTTCGTATGCTGTTTGCTGGAGCAAACTTGCTGTCGTTCTGGTCGATTTTGGCAGTCGAGAGATGACAATTCTAATTCAAATGCGACCTACTTTATCTTTAAATTGATTAAGGTTCAAATTTGATTGCCCAGTCATACAGCTTATTAAATTGCAATGCCTTATAGTACACACATAATCTGACAGTCGCACAAGCTAGTTTCAGCATAATAAATCACATCGTAAGGTAGATTATGATGAAAAATATTATCCGAAGTTTTTTCTCATAATATTACGATTTATTTACTTGATAGTATATACGTACGTATAGCACGAAAAATATTTTAAACTGTTTTTTTGTTTTATGTTTTATAAAAGCATTTTAATCAAATAAAAGCAAAATTATGAGACGTCTATAATTTTGTCCAACTCTTTTTACAACTTAGAGCGTTTATATAAGTTTAGTATTTATTTTATACATAGACGAGTCCATAATAAATTAACCAGCTCCTTATCACAGGAAGTCTTAGTTCAAAACAGGAGTTGCCGGCCGCAAAACGTAAACTTGAACTTTACCGGCACAACTTTGCTTTCTGATGTTAATAATTCTGTTTTATGATCCACACTGAACTGCGAAGATAGTAAATGTTATTTGGGAAGTCTTAATACTCGTAGTTTAACAGTACAATAAATTCGTCAGGTTTCGTGACGTTAAATTTTTGAAGTCATTATAGTATAGTTAAATTTAACTACTATTATTACGACCTGGTTTCGTCCAGGAATTTGTAACTTTATAAGACATATTGATATAATATATACGAGCATAGCCTATGACAGCCGATAGAAAGTATTTCTCAACTCGGTGCAGTGGTTCCGGATTTTATTTTCTTCATAACAGATCTTTATTATATTGTTGAAGATATATAAGATTATAATAAGTCTAGAGCTACAATGTAAGTTTTTCAATTGTACGAGCTTTCAACTTCCAATAGAATAAAGGTTCTACACTGTTTCTCCTACGTAACACAACTTGAAGCGTAACTCTTATAATTCAAATATTCATCTGACAAGATCTGAATATATTATAAATTCAAGTTGAAACTTCCAACGTTTGCAAGTTAAATGCTATATAGTTTACAACCCCCGAGATTAATTTTTAACATAGCGCAATGTCTGCTGTTATTAAAAAGTGATGTTTCGTTTCATTTAACCGAGATCCACTTAATGTGGCGCTATTGCCATCTGTCGGTTATTTTAGTAAACTATTGTTTATGATCGTAATAGTCAGATGTCAGTGTAATAATTTATTATAACGTAACAAAACAAAGAGTATCTTTGTTTTTCATCTATTAATATTGTCGAGGTGAAAATTATATTTCTTGTGTCGTTAACGTACCCGTAAAAAATAGTAAGGTTAGAGGAATTAATATGAAATTTTCATAGTGATACATAATTCAATATATTAAATTTATATTAATTAATTAATTTTAAATTGGTCACCCTATAGGCTAATGAAAGCTGAGAAATAGTCCACACTTAATATAAATAATGTTAAACAACACATAGATATTAGTATATTTGTTTATTATTATCTAGTATTCATTATTAAATAATATTTATATACCTAGACGTTTTTAATAATTATATTTTTTATTTAATAAAGAAAAGGGTATGTACAGATTTTTATTTATTATAAATGAACATGTATACTAAATTGCGGGCATATCCTGTTATTCATAGAAAAAACTTTCGTCATAAATAAATCTATATTTATCTCTATTATTGTATTTTACCATCTTTAGTTTTAAATGTAGTTGAAAGAAAGATACTTTTTACGTCCGGAAATACACAAGTATGCAGACAATTTACAGTACTTTTGTTTCCTCCACATTTTATAGGACTAGCTAGGTGTACCAAATAAGGACGTCTAATAAATGAATTGCTATATTCTTTACATCAAAATAAACGAGTTTGCTTTTGATCTCAATAGAAACAATAAATAATACAATAGCATTATTCGGGCGCAGTCGTTTCACCCCAACACCTTTCCTTGTTTCAAATAGGGTTGTACGCTTCAATGTATTGTTTTTGACAACATTACTTATATTTCTATGTATATTTTAGCACAAATTTTTAAGATATTAGCGAAAAGTTATAACATTTTTTGTTTAACTGAACACCTGGTGGTACTTCAGAAGTACCACCAGGTGTTCAGTTATAACTTACGCTTTGCTATTATACACTCTGTAATTTCACTGCCCTGCTTCAACCTTTAAAGCGTAAATCAGGTTACATAGCAAATTACTTGACGGCCGTAATATGTGAAACACAGGTAAGCAGACAATTCTGTTCAAAGTCAATTTCCGTATAGAAGAAATTATATTTAAGATAACCTATATCTCTAAGTAATGATATTTCATATATGACGGTTGACAGGTCCAAAATTATAGTAAATCAATTTCAACTATACAACGAGGCGTAATTTCAAATTAATTACACTTTCATGTTTACACAGCGGGTCGTGTGTTCCTTGTTTCGTCGATAAAAGCTCATTGAACTAGTCATTAATAATTTCTATGAAATTCTCTATGTTTACATATTATATTTGTCTAAAGTTTAGTAACACTATTATGTAAAACTATTATTTTAAATATAATAATATTGTTATATTTAAAATAATCATTTTTGTAATATTTAGAAATTTTGTAGGCAGGAGATATATATGTAGTACTGCTGAGGTCATTATACCAAGAAGAATATTTGTCCCCAAAAACTGCGATTGGTTAGAATGATTAATAATACTAATTCCAATTAAACTGGTGTATTTTTATACCTATATATTTATGCAATTTTTTTCGTTTAAATAAATACTGCACTGTAATAAGCACATAAGGTTTTAATTAAATACTGGGTATGATGTTAAAATTTATCTTTACAGAAGCATTTCCTATGCTATACTGTATTTTATAAATGTTGTAATAATATTAAAATGAACGTCAATATATCTAATATATTAATATTATTACTAGTATTATGTACATTGGTTCTAATAACGACAAATTATAGAACACCAT